TATGATCATTACAATGGAAGGCAGGAAAGGAAAATAAACTCCGTTTATGTTGATGTCAACGTAAGTGGTGACAGTATTTTTTTCAGTGGGAAATATGAATGTAAATTGAAGGCTTTAGCACTTTGTAATGGTGCTGATGATAAAGAGGGCTTGATGTGGACCCTTCCAGTGAGGGTCACACTTTTTTTTCTGCAGCTTGGTATGGAGTCAGTTGGTGGGCTGTGGGTTGTGGTTCAGTTTATCGGGCTTGATTGAGGTGGCCTCTCGTGTATGAGTGGGCAGCACTGACGCATTCATCTGTGCTTTGCTGCAGTTCATCACAGTGGCTTCTGAAATAGAAAGCACCCACCCACTTCTGTATGCTTATTGAATATAAGGATCAGCTAACTATGGCCTGCTTGCATGCCAAATTGGGCCTTTGGCCTGTTTTTATACTGTGTGACAGTTTAGAATTTTTTTTTTTTTTTTACATTTTCAAAGGGTTGTAAAAAGGGAAAAGATGAATGCTACAGGCACCAAATGTGGCCTGCAATGCTTAAAATATTTACCATCTGGCCCTTTACAGAAAGTTTGCTGATTGTATAATCCACAATATAGATTCATAAAACCTATTCTTAATCAAAAAAGTAACAGAATTAAGTCATTCATATTTCAGATTTGAATTGACATCATTCTTCTACTAATTTTTTTTGTTTTGAATTCCGCTTTCAACATGTGTTAGGCTAGATGACCTAAAATACTAAATATGTAGAAATGCTGGATAAAATAAGACAATCATCTTTTAAATGGAAAACTTAGTTGTTAAGAAAGTAAGAAGTTCCTAATTCATTTTCCCATTGCTGCGGTGACCTTGGATTGGGGGCAATTGGTTGGGGTGACATAAAAGAGCAAAGAAGAAGAAAATTGAAACTACAAGGGGAAGGTATGATATATAAGAAGGACTGATAAGAAAAAATTATCCTCTTGTATCCTAAAACATGAACTTGATGGGACAGTTATCATCTTAACAATGGCTGATTGACATTATTAAAATAAAATGGAGCCAAATCTGTATAGCAATAATATGAAAGAAGAAAGGGGATAAAGAATTAAACCAATCTAATAAGATCCATTTATTGTTCAGAAGAAACATAGAGTAAGTAAAGTTTACTTATTAATATTTTAAGAAAACTGTAAGAAGAATGTGTAACTTCAGAAGAGTTGGAGGGGGAAAGTGAGTAACAAAGTTATGATCATTACTTATGAAAGGCAGGAAAGGAAAATAAACTCCAAATAGTGTTAAGTAGCACAAAATAATAATATAGAAACATATCCAAGTCATAGTAAGTAAAAGTAATCTGAACTTCCCAGTTAAAAGACAGAGATTATCAGTATGCCTCTTAGAAAAACCCAATAATACACTTTTTTTTTTTTTTTTTTTGAGACAGTTTCACTCTTGCTGCCCAGGCTGGAGTACAGTGGCGCAATTTCGGCTCACCACAACCTCTGCCTCCTGGGTTCAAGCCATTCTCCTGCCTCAGCCTCCTGAGTAGCTGATTACAGGCATGTGCCACCATGCCCGGCTAATTATTTGTATTTTTAGTAGAGACAGGGCCTCTCATGTTGGTCAGGCTGGTCTAGAACTCCTGACTTCAGATGGTCTGCCCACCTTGGCCTCCCAAAGTGCTGGGATTAGGCATGAGCCACTGTGCCTGGCATAATACACTGTTTTCAAGAGACTCTTTAAGGCCAAGAGTGGTGGCTCACACCTGTTATCCCAACACTTTGAGTGTCTTAAGATGGGAGGATCGCTTGAGACTAGGAGTTTGAGACCAGTCTGGGAAACATAGCAAGACGTGGTTTCTACAAAAAATGAAAATAAAAAAATTAGCCAGGTGTGGTGGCACACTCCTGCCATCCTAGTAATTGAGGCTGAGGTAAGAGGATTGCTTGAGCCCAGGAGTTTGAGGCTGCAGTGATTTATGATGATGCCACTGTACTTCAGCCTGGGAAATAGGGCAAGACTCTGTCTCTTTAAAAAAAAAAAATCCTTCAAAGATGTAAGGTGGACAGAGAAAGATAAATGAGACAGCTACTAAGGGGAAGAAATATGTATACTGTGTGTATTTAAGGTAGAAAGTATTATTGAGGATAGAGGTTTACTCTGTAATAATAAAAGGAACAATTCAGGAAAATATAAAAATCATAAACTTAGGTATACCTAATAACATAACATTATAATAAAGCAAAATGATTTTTTAAAGTGGAGAAATTAATAAGTGATTGAATGTACATTGGAATTTTTGATATATGATATTTAATAATTTATATATCAAGAAGACAAGAAATTACAAGATTTGAGTAACAGTTTTTCCCGTGTGCCTAAAATTGTGTACAACAATAACAGAATATATGTTATTTTCAATATATGAAAATTTGTGAAATTAACTGATACTTGCCACAACACAAGTTTAATACAAGGTTCAATAAAGTATATGATGTCTAACCATGGTACGATTTCATTAAAAACAAAAATAACACATAATTTTAAAAAATCAGTAGCTGCATGTGCAGCCCAGCTACTCACAAGGCTGAGGCCATAAGATTGCTTGAACCCAGGAGTTCAAGTCCAGCCTGGGTAACATAGCAAGACTCTATCACTTAAACAAAAAAATCAATAAGTTGGTCAGTGAGTTAAGAGGATTGCTTGAATCCAGGAGTTCAAGTCCAGCCTGGGCAACATAGCAAGACTCTTAAGTTGGTCAATCAGTAGACACATTTCTAATTAACTCACGGATCAAAATAATTTTTAAAAACTTTTATTATGGAAAATATTGAACATATACAAAAAATATACTGTTGTGAAGCTATTGTATTTGTGATGTAGGATATGGAAAGCAGGAGGAGAAATCAGGTTTGAATTGATAATTGGTAAGTATAAAGTGTTATGTGTGAACAGATAAAATACATTGTAAGGGGCACTTAATAAGTTAAAGGATGCCTATTGTTACTCCTAGCAACCACTTAAAGAACAGTAACAAAGAAGTAGTATAACTAAGAAGCCAATAGGTGATAGAAAACAGAAACTAGAAAATACTTGATTAACCAAAAAGAAAGCAAAACAGCAACACAGCAAAAGAAGGAGCAAATAGGAGCAGTGAGGTGGTAGATATAAATCTAGCCAAAGCAATAATGACATTAAATATAATTGGTCTAAACATATCAAGTAAAAGGCACAGAGATATTCAGAGTGGACAGAAAAACAGGACCCAAGTATATACTGCCCACAAAAGATGTGAATTTAAATAAAAAGACATAGATAATTGAAAGAAGGATGAAAAAAGATACAACACACAAACAGTAAACATGAAAAAGTTGGCTTGATTATATTAATAACAGAAAAGTAAGATTTTAAGAAATGAATGTTCTTCTTGGAATGCCTTTCACCTCATGTTTTCCTGCCTGTAGTCTTCCACTCTTTCTTATATTCTTTTTTTTTTTTTTCTTTGAAACGGAGTCTCTTTCTGGAGCCCAGGCTGTAGTGCAGTGGTCTGATCTTGGTTCACTGCAACCTCCGCCTCCCGGGTTCAACAGATTCTCCTGCCTCAGCCTCCCGAGTAGCTGGGATCACAGGCGTCAGCCAGCATGCCTGGCTAATTTTTCTATTTTTAGTATATACAGGGTTTTGCCATGTTGGCTAGGCTGATCTTGAACTCCTGACCTTGTGATTGCCCACCTCGACCTCCCAAAGTGTTGGGATTACAGGCATGAGCCGCCTCACCTGGTCCTTGTATTCTTAAACATTTGTTATTTTCTCTAGGAAACCTTTTCTCACTCAAGATCTAGACCTGTGGGTTCAAATAGCATTCTTTATTTCTTCTATCATTATGTTATTCCATTGTGTTTTAAGCATTTATCTCTCTCCTGTATATTTTAAATACTTTTCTGTCTGTAAGATCTGTGAAGAAGGGAATATCTAGTTTTTTTACAATTGTACTTTTAGCGCTTACCATAGTACCTGATGCACATAAGTTCTCAATAAATATTTGTTGAATGAATGAATATATTAGTAAACAACTTAGTAAGAAATATGTTCAAAAAGTTTATATGGCTATGCGTGGAAATGTTTATATTTGTGCAAAAAAGGATGGAAAAGGTTTTAAAAGCCATAAAAAAAAATTGGGAAAATCAAAAAGCATTCTTTTCTTTAATCTAATGAGTAATTTTTCATTTATCTTCCATAGACCTGAATTGGTAGTTAAGAAGTTACGATATTATGCAAGATTTATAGTAGTTTGTCTTCTTCTCAACAAAATGGATGTTGTAAAGGATCTGGTAAAGGTAAATGCACTTTAAAATAGTTAAAATTCTAAGCTCTAATTGTATATGGATAGTCTTATTTTTTAAAACTAGATTTTAGGTTAAAATAATTTTGATATATCAAAATAATTACAACATTTAAAGTGTACTAACTTATGACAAGGATAATGATAAAAAATTTTCCAACTCTTTTCATATTACAAATACACTAATCTGAGATAATTATCTTGATTCCTTGCTTTTGTCCTTTCTACGTGTTTTACATCAAAGCTCATCAGTGGACAGCTGGAATGCAAACAAACAAAAATACTTAGTTTAAGAGAAAATAATTGAAATATTATGTCAAGGAAAAGCACATAACACTTTACAAAGGTACTGGGAATGATTTTAGTTTTCCCCCCACTTTAGAGCTTCTGTATCAAGTCTCTCCTTCATTAATGCAGGTGATTAAGAGTTAACTGTCTTCAGATCCACAGGATACCTGTAACCATTGCATATTAAATTATGGTTGCACTCTGTACTCAATAGGTTTAATGGCATACTTAATTTTGTTTCAAGTACAACATACCAATTGGTTTTTTGGGGTTTGTTTGTTTTGCCCAGCTGGCATATTTATTGGCATTAACATAAGACCCTTCCCTTTCCAGCACTAGGAAGCCATGCCCAAAGTGTGTCCCTCTGCCCCATTTCTGCGAAAAGTCTCAGGCCTTAGCAGTAGCCTGAGCTGTCCCCAGGGCTGTGAGTTGCTGAATATTCTGGCTCATCATTTCCATGACAGCCTGTTTCATGGCGTGCTTCTCCTGGAGAGCTGGTTGGATTTTCTCCATCTGCTTAGTTAGAACACCTGTCTTCCTCTTGAAGAAGTCCTTGGCATCCTCAGCTGTCTTCTCTACATAGTACTGAGTTCCCACATCACTGAGCACGTGTTCCACGTCATGTAGCTTCCCAGGGACATATATGAAGCTCATCAGTGGGATGAGTAATTCTTTCCACTTGTTGCTCTTGTTCAGCACGTTCAGACAGTCCTTGGCTTCCACATACTTGGTCTGTACCACTTTGGGCTGGGTAGTGGATGTGGACAGGAACTCCACTTCCTGGTCCAGCTGGTTCTTGAGCATTTCTAGATGTGGCAGATTCAGTTCTGTGATGTTAATCGCCTGCTCCATGTTGGGAAGAAGGACTAACGAAAAGCTGTTTGTTTGTTTTGAGACAAGGTCTTACTCTGTCACCCAGGCTGGAGTGCAGTGGCACAATCTTGTCTCACTGCAACCTCTGCCTCCTGGGCTCAAGCCATCCTCTTACCTTAGTTTCCTGAGTAGCTGGGATCATAGGCTTAAGCCACTACTCCTAGCTAATTTTTGTGTTCTTGTAGAGACAGGGTTTCACCTTGTTGCCCAGGTTGGTCTTGTACTCACGAGTTCAAGCAATCTACCAGCCTTGGTCTCCCGAAGTGCTGGGATTATAGACATGAGCCACCATACCCAGCTCAACATGCCAGTTTTGACAAGGCCACCAGAAGTAGCTCTCCGTACTCCTTTTCTACTTTCCTTTATACTCAGTTGCCATTAAAAATATTTCCAAAAAAACTGTATAATATAAATCCAAATAGAGCCAGGAAGTATTTTTAGAAATATATAATTTTTTTTTTTTTTTTTTTTTTTTTTTTGAGATGGAATTTCGCTCTTGTTACCCTGGCTGGAGTGCAATGGCACAATCTCGGCTCACCGCAACCTCTGCCTCCTGAGTTCAGGCAATTCTCCTGCCTCAGCCTCCTGAGTAGCTGGGATTACAGGCACGTGCCACCATGCCCAGCTAATTTTTTTTGTGTGTTTTCAGTAGAGACAGGGTTTCACCATGTTGACCAGGATGGTCTCGATCTCTTGACCTCGTGATCCACCTGCCTTGGCCTCCCAAAGTGCTGGGATTACAGGCGTGAGCCACCACGCCCGGCCTATAAATATATAATTTTCTGTAGTGATAGGGTCTCACTACGTTGCCTAGACTGGCCTAGAAATCCTGGCCTCAAATGATCCTCCCATGTCTACTACCCAAAAGGCTGGGATTATGGGTGTGAGACACTGCATCCAGCCTCATTTTTTTTTTTTTAATGCTAAAGTTTTGAATTTGTCTTTTCTGATTTTTCATTAATTAATGTATTGCTGATGTAGTACTGAGAGGAAATAGATCTCTGTGAAGACTTCATTTGGTGGGTATTATTCTGAAGTTTGTGACTTTTGAAGAAAATTTATGTAGTTTTCATCTTTGTTTTTGGTTATAATCAGGACTATGTATTGATAATCAAATTTTGTAAGTATGTTAGTTTTATCAGCAGAATGGTTCTATATGGCTGTGTATTTTTATGGGTTTTTTAATAACCTTTTTTGTGATATTTTTTAAATCAGGAATTGTCAGATGAAATTGAAGATTATACTCACCGATTTAATACTGAAGATCAAGTGGAATGGAACTTGGTGCTTCAAGAAGTAGCAGCTTTCATTGAGGTCAGTTTTAGTAAGAAAAATCATAATTATTGGCCAAGTATGGTGGCTCATCCCTGTAATCCCAGCACTTTGGGAGGCCAAGGTGGGTGGATCACCTGAGGTCAGGAGTTTGAGACAAGTCTGGCCGATATGGTGAAACCCCGTCTCAACTGAAAATACAAAAAAATTAGCTGGGTGTGATGGTGCCTGTAATCCCAGCTACTTGGGAGGCTGAGGCAGGAGAATCGCTTGAACCTGGGAGGCGTAGGTTGAGCCGAGATCGATCCACTGGATTCCAGCCTGGGCAACAAGAATGAAACTCATCTCAAAAAAAAGAAAGAAAAATCATAATTATAGATAAATAAATGACCATGTAGTTTATGTTTTCGTTGTGTCTATATGTCAAGAAGAAGGAATAACTTATTATATTGATAGTCTTAGCCATCTGTTAACTTCTTATTGCTTTTTTCTTTAGGCGGACCCTGTAATGGTATTAAATGATGATAATACCATTGTTATCACATCAAATCGCCTTGCTGAAACAGGAGCCCCATTGCTGGAACAGGGCATGATTGTGGGACAATTATCTCTGGCTGATGCACTCATTATTGGTAATTGTAATAATCAGGTAAAGAATTGTGAAGGGAATATGCTTAAAATTCACTGTGAAAAAAATTGATGATCACAGAATTGTTTTCTTATAAATATCCTAACATCTACGTGTGAGGAAATGGCTGATTAAATTATGCTCTGTGCATATCTGGAATATATTACAGATATTTAAATAGAAAGAATTTTTAATAACCTAGGAAGATACTCCTGATACAATAAATGAAAATAAACTTGCCATGGAGCCATGTAAGCAGAATTATTTCATATATGTTAAAATGTCTATGTGTATACACATAGGATAAAGACTAGGAAGAAATTTTACAAATATGTAAGTTTTATCTCTGAGTAGCCAAATTATAGGTGATTTTTATTTTATTTTTTACGACACTCTAAAGTTTCAAAAATTTCTGGCCAGGCGCCGTGGCTCATGTCTTTAATCCCAGCGCTTTGGGAGGCCAAGGCGGGCAGATCACCTGAGGTCAGGAGTTCAAGACCATTCTGGCCAACATGGTGAAACCCTGTCTCTACAAAAACACACAAAAAATTAGCCGGGCATGATGTCAGGTACCTGTAATCCCAGCTACTGGGGCAGCTGAGGCAGGAGAATCGCTTGAACCTGGGAGGCGGAGGTTGCAGTGAGCCAAGATCATACCACTGTACTTCAGCCTGGGCAACAGAATGAGACTCTGTCTCCAAGAAAACTTAAAAAAAAAAAAAAAAAGTTTCCAAATGTCTATATATTACTTTCCAATCAAGCAAAAAGATATGAGGAGGAGTTGGTGTTTTTTGTTTGTTTGTTTGATTTTTTGAGACAGAGTCTTGCTCTGTTACCCAGGTTGGAGTACAGTGGCACAGTCTTGGCTCACTGCAACCTTTGTCTCCCAGGTTCAAGCAATTCTCCTACCTCAGCCTCCCGAGTAGCTGGGATTACAGGCACATACCACCACATCTGGCTAATTTTTGTATTTTTAGTACAGACAGGGTATCATCATATTGGCCAGGTTGGTCTTGAACTTCTGACCTCAAGTGATCCTCCTGTCTCAGCTTCTCAAAGTGTTTGGATTACAAATGTGAGCCACTGCACCCAGCCGCAGGTTGTTTTTGTGTAAATTTGTTAAAAGTAAATTTCAAATGTTTTTGAATGGCAGAATAGCCCCATGATGTTGCGATTTAACACACTGGAAATGAAATTTACTGAAAATTATGGGATGTTGAAAAAGTCACCAGTAAATACATTTTTCTATATGTTTTTTAACAAGTTTAATTTTGGATCCTATCCTAGCATCTGTCAATCATTTTTGTTATTGTTACATTTTTCTGGTATTTCTCCATTTTTGGCTTTTATGACCATTATTTTGCAAATGTCTACATTACAATTTTAAAAACTAGTGTATGAGTATACTAAATGGAAAAATTTTGAAACATATTTATGTTTTGTATAGTTATATTATCTGAAGGCTTGGTATTTTTCTCACTTTTTTTTTTAATTCAAAGAAAATTTTTCTAATCAGAAAAATATAAATTAAAAGCAAATGAGATATCACTAACCCAGTTGACTAAAAACAAAAGAGACCAAGAAACTGATAATAGCATATCCTGGCAAGTAGTACAAGAACTGAATATTTCATACTTTGTAGAAATGTAAACTGATAGATTAACTTTAGAAAAATGGCAGACATTATCTAGTACAGCTAAATATATGCACACTCCATGACTAAGCAGTTCCAGTATTTTTTTATTGATCTGTAAGAGTTTCTAATATACTCTACGTGAAAGTCCTTTGTCAGATTTACGTACTGAACTATCTTTCCCTACTCTTGTCTTGCCTTTTACTCTTTTCTGACATCTCCTCTCTCTTTCTCTCCTTTTTTCCCAAACATCTGTTAAAATATTAGTGCCTACTCTATGCCAGATCCTGTTCCAGGTACTGGGATTCCAGTGAACAGAAGTCCTTAATTTTAATGTATCCTATTTATAATTCTTTTCCTTTCTTCTAAGAGCTTTTTTGTGCCCTATTTTGAGAAGTTGTTGCTTACTTTACCTTTCATATTTAGATCTATGATCTCTTTGGGATTTATTTTAGTGTGAAGTATGGGTCAAATTTTCTTTCTGGATTTCCAGTAGACCTAGAACCATTTACTAAAAAGACCATTTTTTCCTACCACAGTGTAGTGTCACTTTTATCATAAATCTGGTGTTCAAATATATTTGAGTCTGACTCTGTTCCTTTGGTCTGTATGTCTATTATGCTGATACTTCTGACTTCATTATTATGGCATTGTAATAAGCCTCGATACATTGTAGTAAATGAAAAATTGATTTTGTTTTCTAATTTTTTCTCTTTTGTTGATTCGTACTTGTTTTTGTTTCCTTCTTCCTAATTTGAATTTGCTTAGATAACTGACTGTTTTTATTTTTGAGGCAGAGTCTCACTTTGTCCCTCAGGCTGGAGTACAGTGGCATGATCTCAGCCCACTGCAACTTCTGCCTCCCAGGTTCAAGTGATTCTCCTGCCTCAACCTCCCAAGTAACTGGGATTACAGGCATGTGCTACCACACTCAGCTAATTTTTGTATTTTTAGTAGAAACAGGGTTTTGCCAATGTTGGCCAGCCTGGTCTTGAACTCCTGACCCCGATTCCCCTGCCCCCCGACCTCCTAGAGTGTTGGGATTATAGGTGTGAGTCACTGCACCCAGCCAAATAACTGACTTTAGAACTTCTTCCTCTTCTAATCTAATATACAAATCCCTGGGCTTGGCATGGTGTCTCACGACTGTAATCCCAGCATTTTGGGAGGCTGAGCAGGGCAGATTGCCTGAGGGTCAGGAGTTCTAGACCAGCGTGGCCAACGTGGCAAAATTGTCTCTCCTAAAAATACAAAAAATAGCCGAGTATGATGGCATGCACCTGTAATCCTACCTACTTGGGAGGCAGAGGCAGGAGAATTGCTTGAACCCAGGAGGCAGAGGTTGCAGTGAGCTGAGATCGCACCACTGCACTCCAGCCTGGGCAACAGAACAAGACTCTATCTCTAAATAATAAAATAAATAAAATAAAAATCCAACACTGTAAAATTCTCTTTAAGCAT